CTCTTTCTTTCTTCCTTTCTTTCTTTCTTTCTTTCTTTCTTTCTTTCTTTCTTTCTTTCTTTCTTTCTTTCCTTCCTTCCTTCCTTCCTTCCTTCCTTCCTTCCTTCCTTCCTTCCTTCCTTCCTGTTTCGGGGGCGGGAAGAGTGTCCTCGAACCGCTTTTCGATGTTGACAATGGCAGTTATAATCAAAGCCACATCATTCACGTGCGCGTACACCGTCGTGTAGGGGTATGCACGCACATCATTCACGTGCACACTAACCATTCTCTCGTGTGTCTTGTCTATGCATGTTCTATACCCCACCCTCCCCGCCAACCCGCTAGGTATTTTGGGCGCCATCAGGATATGTTTGTCGGGTAGTTTTGATCTTTCTGTCCTGTGTCAGTTTGTATGTGTGTGTGTGTGTGGGGGGGGGATGGAGTAGAGGTCTTGTGCAAATGCCCAAGATCATTCATCTGCTATTTAGCCGGGCACACTGATATCCCCCTACTTCCTGCTGATAGCTTTCTGTCACTTGTCTTTGCTGTTAGTTGACCGATGTACAGAGCAGTGAATGGGATTGTTAAATGTGTGTAAATTTCAAGGCAAATGAGGGACTGAGTAAGCACATGCAAATTTCAGGTAGAAAAGTGAGTTGGATTTAAGCATACCGGTTTCTAAAATATGTGTCACAACAGAGCAGTAAGACATAAGGGAGAAATGGGCACAAATCAAGGCAGAGCAGTAAAATGGAGGTAGAAACTAAATAAAATTCCTAGTGGCAGATATTCATTCCTGCCTGTTTGTGAAGGACCAAAAAAAGTGCAAATGTATTTGGGATTCTTTCTGGTATCTTCCCAACTTCTATGAAAAACATACTAAAAATCCATTCTGAGGCATTGGGCCCTGAGTAGGAGTGAGGTAAAATGGTGGCAGTCCTTGCAAGGTTGCAAGGGGTGACAGATCTTAAAAGGACATCGGTATTAAGATTTTTGTAAAGCAAATATATTTCAGTTTTTATATTTTAGTTTATTTAACAGATAAGAGTGGTTTTTGATGAATTTGATTGATGGATTTACTTCTTAACTTTTTACTTAACACCTGTGCCATTTGTTGCATTCTATGGGCATGGCTAAAAACTGTATTTAACCTAACTCATAAATCCTGATGGGTACATATGAACATGTACTTTCTATTCCCCTGCTTCAGGAAAAGCTGCCTTGAGAGCGGGCTGCAGTGACTATCAAGATGGGTACTTAGCTCTTTCCCTGCCCTTCACTTCTGCACTTCAGATGTCCTCAGTTGAGCTTGTCTTGTCAACATGAGTTTGGAACTCATTTGGGATAATAGAAGCAACTGAGAAGCTGTTTGGAGCAGAGATGCAGCCCGTGGATGGGGAATGAGATGGGTACTACTTCCTCTATGTTACTTCTCTGCTCCAAATTAGCCATCTCTAAAGCAGCATAGAAGAGCTGTTGAGGGTTCAGTTATGTGGTATGTTTAATTAACGCTGCAGGGTCAAATTGTTAGTGATTGACATGTCTTCTTCACACAAATGGTAAGATACATTCATATTAAACAGGTGGCTAGTTGCAGAAGGGTGGAGGATACTGATGTAAGAAACTGAAAAGTCTAGCAGAGTTTCAGGAGAATACACAACTAGTTCTGAGGAGAGCCTACTCTTATTTTTTATCTGTCCTGTCTTTGCATACTAGAAGATCATTGAAACTATGTCATTTATAGAGAAAAACAGGGTTTCAGCCATACATTTTTTTTAAAAAACCTTGAAATGTGTTCATAGATTAAGCATTTGAACAGTTTTTGCATGTTTTTTGCATGTTTATGTATACTGGGATCCTTTACTGTTATTTTGATGTGTATGTTTCCACTTTGTTCCTTTTAACAGAAATATCTTCTCAGAAAAAATTTGATGAAATTAAGAAAGCTAACCAAGCTGCAGCTAAAAAACTTGTTGAAGATCAGTTTAATTCCTCATCTGAAGAAGAGGATGAAGATATTGAAGGAAAACATGGAAAAATATTGGCCAAAACATTTACAACTTATACTAATCAGACTGGTAAAGACATTTATATTTTCCTTCATCAGCTTTCACTATGTCTTAGATCAGTAGTTCTATTTTAAGAACAATAAATATACATACATAGATATAAAGTGCTCAGAAACATAACTATTTCAAAAGTTCTAAATATAGCAGTAAATATACAACTGTGGATACTCTTAAAATTGTAAAAGCAGAAAAAGAGCCATGGTAGAACAGAACAAGAGTCTGTTTAATCCAGTATCTTGTTTCCAACATTAGTCAACCCCATGTCTTGAAGCACACAAGTAGGAATTTTTTCATTGGGTTATTTATGTGAATGTGAAATAATTCGAGATATCATGATAGCTGAGATTAAGTCCTCTGCTCACCCACTGCTTGCCTGCCCAGGCTAAGTCATGCATGTTGAATGTGATCCATGTCCTTTGAAAGAGAAGCCCCATGGTACAATTTTAAGTAATTACTGCATGTGACATTTATCCATCTCTTTTTGTGGGTGCATCAAAAAATTATGGAGCTGATCTTGGAAAGACTGTACTAGGAGCCCTACTTATCTGACCTATGAAGAAAGAAAGCATGGCCAAGTACTCTGGTTTCTTTGATTTTAGATGCAGTCTTTCAGAGTGTAGGGGAGTACCATCTGTGGCAGCCTTCTCCAACATGGCGTCCAGCAGATGTGTTGGACTACAGTCTAAGTTGAGGAAAGCTTCTGGGGTGATCAGGACATCTGCTTGTTTGTGCAGTGTCAAGCCACTGCTTACAGATAAATATAAGTGATGATTGGGCAAGGATAAAATACTGGCAGCATATGCTTCAGGCAAATGTAAGTAAGCCCAGCTGTGTGGTGGCTTGTATTAGTTTGGAGCAGGGGTGGGCAACCGTGTTCAGTCCATGTGCACTCATGTTTTGAAAAGTGTCCATGGGTGCTCTCACAGGATGGACCTTCCTAATGTAATCTCCTCCTCTCTCCCACTGCTGTGGTACCCACTTCCTCCTTTCCATGCTCACTTCCCCTGCTGCTTCCACTTTCACACCTGCTTCTTTCCTGCACCTCTGCACTCACTTCCTGCTCCTCTCTGCTATGCATAGCTCCCCTGTTGCTGCTGCTACCATGCTCGCCTCTTTCTCCCCATCACACTCACTGCCTGCCACTACTGCCACACTCTCTTACTCCCACAATGCTTAGCTTTTCCCTCCCTTGATGTGCTCACTCTCTGTCATCATCATTGGAACCATCTTCACCTCCTTGCCTGCCACAAGCACTCTCCCTTCTGTCTTGCTGATGCCACTGTGCTCCGCTCCCTTTTCCTGCTCCCATGTTAACTAGCTCTCCCTCACCATAGCAGCCCTAACCCAGAAGCAGGAGGTTGACATATAAAGTATCCTCTTGTCTTGAAATAAAAACGTCTTGGAGGTTTATGGTAGAAACAGTTTGAGACTGGATATCTATCCAGACAACTATCTGGTTGTCTTCTGGCTGCAGCAGGCTCTGATTCCAACGTTACAGGGAAAGCATAGTGAACAAAGTGCAAAAAGTGACTAATAAGAGGGTCTTTCCTGTTGTGGTACACCAGTTGAGATCCCCAGAGAGGCTTGCCTGTGTCTGCGTTGTGCTCTTGTTGACACCATTATTTTCCCATTCATACCTCATTTTTTGTGAACTGCCCTGAGACTTTTGACTAATGGGTGGTGTAGCAATTAAATACTCTTGTCTTCTAAGGAAAGGCAGCAGAAGAAGGTAGCATTTGGCCCACTCACATATCTAAACCTTAGACTAAAACATTGTCAACTATTTTTTAAAAATAACGTGCAAAATAATTTTCTTTTTTTTTCCAGATGGAGATGCAAGTGAATTGGAACGCACAAGACAGTACATGAATGATGCTTTTCAATCTGGGGCAATGACATGCTTGATTTGTATTGCTTCTATTAAGAGAAACCAAGCTGTAAGTATCTTAACATTATGAGTATTATCTATTTTATTTTTCTATTTACCTGTTGAACTCCAAAGGGAGAGATAGCATATAAAAAGGCATATTTGTGATTCCACATTTGGAATCCCTTCAAAAAACTTGCACAGAAAGTGACACAAACCTCCTTTTGTTCAGGTATTCATGATCTTGCTGGACATGTGTTTTTACTGTAACAACCATTTGTCATCTGAACTGTGCATTCAAACCTCTTTTGTACCCTATTATAGTTGTTTGGGGGATCTTTAAAGTAGATCACATTTCCTCTGCCATGCTAGTTTCTGCTGCAGTTGACTTTATGAGCTCTAGTAATAAAGTTGATCCAGTTCTGACACATACATGCACAAGAAAGATCTTAATTTGGGCAATACATTCTCTAGAAGTGCTCAAGACAAAGGCTATTTTCAGCTGTCCATGCTTTCTTAGCTATAGGTTGCTGATGACATGGGAGTTTGGTCAATGTGTCTATTAAACTTGAGCATTGCTTCCCTCCTTCCTTCCCTCCCTCCCTCCCTCCCTCTGTCCGTCTTAGACTTAAGACGGATGTTTTAGACTTAATATGTATGTGTTTTAATCTGGCATTTGATGTTTGAATTGCTGTTGTGCTTGGGTGGTTTAGGGTATAATCCTGTGGCCTTCTGGTACTGTCTAAGTGTGGGCACAGATTTTGCAGGAGTCCTAGCTCTGAAGTCCTATGACCTTAGAACTGGGACAGTAATGACTGAGCCCTCACCTCAGTCCAAGTACATCCAGTGCAGAAAGAACTGCACTGGCTCCCTCCTGTGCAGTTGGACCGTGCAACTGGACTTAGAGAGGATGAAAAAGGGTGGGCTGTGGTGTGGGATGTGGAAGGGAAGATACTGTGTCTAACAACTTACACCAGTTCATATCCTCTCCCCAGCCTCTTTCCTTCTCTCTCCCTGGCAGTAAATCTAGATGGCTGTAAATGCCCATCTTGAGAAAATATATGGTATGTGGCACAATGGTGAGGATCACTACTGCCACATCTCACTGTGTGGTTGCACATAGGCATCTGAGTATGGAGACTTGAGTTCCTCTTAGGTGGAGGGCAGTGGATTGTCTCTTTATGGAATTGAGAGTTTTACATCTATTGTTAGCCTCAAGGTCTGATCCTGTGGCAAATAGTTGAAGATACAAATTTTAAATCAATGCAGTGTTGCTCTAGACCTGCAGATCAGTGGCTATTTCTACTGGAAAACAAAGCCTTTCTCTTCTTGTTCTTAGGTTGCTTTTAATGGGTGGATTTCATATGCCAGATCAACAGATTTACTTGGAAGAGAATCTGATGCATTTTTGCTTGTCTTCCAGGTCTGGAGTTGTTCTGGATGTTTCTGCATATTCCACATGCCATGCATTCAGAAGTGGGCTAAGGACAGCCTTTTCCTAATATCTTCTCCCTTGACAGATGATGATTTTGGAAAAAAGGATTATCCATGGCCATGGTAGGCTTTTAAGGTTTTATTTCAAAAGGTGCTTTCTACTATGGAATATTGAGCCATAGTTTTTAAAAGAAGGGTGGGTGTAACTATTAAGCTACAAAATGTGTGTTCTGATGTTGCCTTCAACACTAAGAAAATGGTGTTTCACAAATTCAGCCAGGACCTTTTTATTCACTTTGTCACGGTTAAGTTTTCAAAGGGCTTACTGCAGTACAGAGCAGTATCCTCAATTCTGAAAGTATCCTTTTAAGCACATTAGATCCCGAACCCAAGTATATATTCCCCCCACAAAATATCAAATGTCTTTGTTCTTTCCTTTACAAATCATTAAAATACAACTATATATGCCACACTAAATGTAAGAGGAGAAAGTGTGTGTGGTGGAGAAAAATCAAGCTGTTGCCTGGTCCTTTTATTTTGGGGCTGTTCCCAGCAATGTTTGTCTGCCAGTAGAATGGCATCTGTTAGTTCAAGGTATTGGACTTTTTCCTGCCCAAGGTCTGAGTGACATTTTGGAGATGCTCTCAGGTGAGCAGGGTGGGGACTGCCTTCCAGTTATGGGAGGCAGGGTGGAGGCAAAATGGTGTGGGACCCAAATCAGAGGGTGAGGACCAAAATTCCAAAAATACCAGAATAATTTAAAGCTCTTCCTGTTAGTAACTAAGTCTTTGCAGAAATGTTTCAGTGTTTTTGAATAGGCAAAAATCATGTAAAAGCCAATAACCCACCAACTAATTAGTGGTCGGGAGAAAGACCCATCTGGGGAACACTTAGGGTCAGATTGGGAACCCAGGAGGTTTGGCTTAAGTCTGTGGGCCTGCCGGGTCCTCCTGCAGTCCTGCAAACCTACTCAAGAGGGAACAATTTTGAGCAGGCCTGTGGGAGCACGTGTAGACATAGGGAACTGCAGGGAGTGGTGGAATCTGTTTGGGAGAGGGCAGGTGGGTAGTGGAAGGAGAAGTTCTATGGTGCAATGTTGAAATTTGCTTGTGCAGTCTTGTTTATCACTCCAGATTTTTGTTGTTTCTAAGCGAAGACTGTGTGCCTTTTAAAGAAGACATGAATTGGGTTGGGGAGGCCTTCTAAATCCATCTGTGTTTTCTGTGCAGTGGAGACTTTTTATACAACCTGGAAATAAGCCACTAGGAAGAGTTCTCTGATCAGACTAGTCTTGCATTTTTAAAAAAGATCTTTTATCACCTTTGTCACTTCTCTTTATCTACTATCTGTGGAAGCCAACGTGTCCTCAGCAAGCTAAAGCAACTTCTTTCACATATTCAACTTTGCATTCATCTTATGAGCATTTACAGCAAAGTCTTATATACAGTTAAGCACTACTTTGGCATAACACTTATGGCATGTGCATTAAAAATCAGCATTTAGCATCCAAGCTGGCTATTATTTGTGATTGCATCACCATTGGATTAAAGTGTGATTGCAATAACACCTTATTCTTGAGTTGACATTTACTGAACTCTCCATGAATTCCCCCAAATGCTCTTCTTTCAGTCCAAAATGCAGGTTTGAGTACAAGCGGGCTGAGACTCCAACACGCTACTATTGCTACTGTGGAAAGGTGGAGGATCCACCATTGGACCCTTGGCTGGTTCCTCATTCTTGTGGCCAGGTGTGTGAGAGAGAGTTCAAGCCTCCTTGTGGGCACAGGTGCCTACTTCTTTGCCACCCAGGTATGTAATGGTAATGTCATTATTAATGAGTTCAGCTATCATGAAAGCCAAACTGATGAAAAGCATGGGGTGGCATGGATGTAAACATAGCTACATGCAGACAGAATTTTTGTAGCAGATAATATTACTGAAACCTATCAGTGTCAAAGCTTTGGAGTACCGGCTTTATGGACTCCCTGATCTATTCTATTGATTACATTGGAATAGCTGGGCAACTCAAGGCAGCAACTGTTGGGATGTCAGTTTCTAAATACGGTTTTGTTTTGGTCTTCCGAGGTCCTTGTCCACCTTGTCCAAAGATGATCACAATAACCTGTTACTGTAGGAAGGCCAAGCCTGTGCCACGGAGATGCAGCACAAAAGAATGGTCCTGTCAGCTTCCCTGTGGACGGAAACTTCCATGTGGACAACACAACTGTGAGAAACCTTGTCATCCAGGTAGATGTAGCAGTCCCAATGTTATTTTAAAAAATCAATTTTCTGTTACATTTGTCTGCAAGATCAACTTTCTCTAACCTATCTGTACATCCCTTCTCCTGAAAGGAGAATATTTTAAGTGATTTGTTTCCATGCAAACGTCTAATCATCTGCTGCACCTTGCTTTTAGGAGACTGTCAGCCCTGCCCAAGAGTCAGTAAGCAAAGTTGTGTCTGTGGTAGACAAGTCACAGAAAGACTTTGTGCGAGTCCTTTGTGGCACTGTGATCAGGTATATTTTCTTTAAAGATTGCCATGTTAAGTTGTTACCAAATATATGAAGCTTTGCTTTAGAGGGAAGGTAATGAACCTTTAACTCCTTCCTCTGACCTTGCTAAGAAATCTTGTGTGTCAACATGATGAGCAAGGAATTTAAGATGTGACTTGAGAGGAAAAGAAATTGGTTCAGCAGCTACATGGGAACTTCTGCTGCCTTCCCGCTGACTCATAAGCCTACTGAATTATTGCCTCCAGATAAGAGCCATTTGTTTGTCTGTGCTAGCCTTTTTCCAGGTCACTGCTACCAGTGTATTGCTGTGGCTTGGTGCAAAGCTTTTGGTCATACAAGCATCAATGTCATGTAATGTGGCTTTCCCAGTCTGGAGCTGGGTGCTTGAATGGGGTGGGAGGTGGTATGTTAGGCTGTGGTAGGAGAGGAACATGGACTAAAATCAGAGTGACTGTCTTCTGTGAGTAGAAGTTCCTTACACAAGAGCAAGAATTCATCTAAGCTATAGCCTCTAAAGCAGGGCTGGGCAACTGATGGCCTGCCTGACTTATTGTGTCCCCCCTCATTGGTGGTGCTGGCAAGGGTTGATGGGCGTTTTAGGTCAGCAGCACAAGGAGTTGTTTGTCAGCTGCCCCCTAGCATCAATGGCCACTCTTATGCAAGTAGTTGTGGATAAAACCATTTTTATAAGATACTAGAAGAACTACTTGATGAGCAGGCATATAGAGTGCTTCAAAACTGTTGCATTTTATCATTGTAAGCCTGTCAGCCACTTTGAGGACCTAGTGCTTGCTTAGTGTTATACGATAGATCATCATAAAATGGGAACACAGACATCTTAACTCTGTTTTCACCTTCCTTGTGGCATGGCCTTTTTTTGCAAATGAGGTAGAATAAGGAAACATAGAAACAGAGCAAGTCAGAAGGGGTCTCCCAGGCCATCTAGTCTGACCTCTGGCACCATTTCACTGTGTTCACTGTTTTTGCCTGCTTAAGCCCTGATTTTCTACACATAGCTCTTCAAGGCATAGAAGCTCTGTCCTAATTTGTATCTGGTCATCTTGCCCCAGCTCATGGCTACTGATGGACTGTCTGACACTTTCTGACAGATCTCCTATAACTTGTGTGTGCATGCAAAGTGCATTTATGTGGTTTATCTCTTTCCAATCTGCACATCTCAGTTGCTATAATAACAGGAACCTTTGCTGGTGGTAAAAAGTTTAGTTGTTCTCCACTTAAAATCTGAAGTAGTAGAAAGTGTAATCTAAGGCAAGGTAGGCAGAAGGTAGATCTGGAGATGTTTTGAACTTCAGCTCCCAGAAGCAACAGTTTGCATGGCCAAAGGTCAGGAAAGCCTGCAGCTGATCCATTCTATTTGGAGCTCTGCTTGCTGGCCACCCTGATCTAAAGAATTGAAGAATCAATATTCTAAATATATTGTTCCTTGCCAAACAAGTCCAATGTAACTTTTAACAAAGTTATTTCATAAGGTTTTAAATTACTCCTTGTTAACCTGCTGCTTATATGCAACATGGTTCTGAGAGAGTTTGCCTTTTTCCTTCCTGCTTTCAGTTGAATTTGTGTGCTTTGTTAATTTGTGGAGTTCCTCACTTGCAACTGCCATTTGTGTTTTCCCACCAGGTTTGTGGCAAAACATTGCCTTGTGGTTATCATGCCTGTGAACAGATATGTCATGGTGGCCCCTGTGGGGAATGTCCGCGATCTGGAAAAAGGTCTTGTCCATGTGGAAAATCAAGTAATGTTTGTTTCTTCTTTGCTTATCTTATTTGGCAAGCATCCAATTGGTCAACATGATTGGTGCATCTAAATCTGAAAAGATCCAAGTTGTATTCAGAAATAAGCGAATTCCAGGGAGAAAAATACAATAGTTTATTAAAAGCTTATGCTGGCATTGTCCTATTGAAGCATTGCTGCAAGTGATGCTAGGCACAAACCCCACTTAGCTTAATTCAGTTAGATCACGGATATAAAAATGAAATATTCCAACTTGATTTCATGTCTTATTTTCCTTAAAAAAGTTTGCATCAAAAAGTCAATGGCAACCATTTTATTCTGCCTTCTCCTTAGAATTTTCTTTACCATGTACGGAGGACGTGCCTCCCTGTGGAGACAGCTGTGACAAGGTTCTTGAATGTGGGATCCACAGATGTTCACAGCGCTGCCATCGAGGCCCCTGCGAAATCTGTAGACAGGTTAGCCTTTCTCTTCCAATTGTCATGTGCATCTGAGGCATTGATGGACCTGAACCCTCCCTCCCTCCCTCCCTCCCTTCCTTTTTTGTGGTGGTGGTACGAGGGGCTGTTCATTCTCTATTGCATCTTATGTAACAAGTAAACTTCACAAGACCTGGGATTTCTGTTCTTCTAAGCTAGTACTACTACAAATTGTAGATCTGAATTTGAATGTACAGTGAAACAATTTTGAAAAATCCCTACACATGGAATCATAGCATGGTAAGGGAGAGTTCTAGGCTAGCTTTTCCTCTAAAAGGCTTGATACCTACTGGGGGTGCCAAAAATGGTATACACACTAGTAGTTCATTGTAATCAGAATTGTCTGGATGCTAATAGTAACCACTTTGAGCCCCTCTTGTAATTGCAGAAGTCAAACATGACTTGTATTCATCTTTTGTTATTGGTATATATTAAAATTTTAGTACAGTTTTTTCCTTTCTTAAAATGTGTATACATTTTTGGCATCCTCTCTATTTGCAGTGATTTTATCTATGGTGGAACATTCAGTTATGTTGCTATGTTTTCTGTCTAACTACTCTGCCAACTACTCTAATGGATCTAACACATTTGCAAGCAATTCTGCATTCAGTACTAAGAGAGTCATTTCACAATGTGATTCTGGCTCTGTTCAGCTAGAGCAGTGATTCCCAAAGTGGGTGGTAACATCCCTCTGGGGGTGGTGAAAAGATCTGGGGGTAGGGGTGGTGATTTGTTGCTTTAAATTTGCAGGAGAGCAGTAGACCTAATGCAAAGAAAGAGGCATGGAGGCTCTAGGTTTGTTGCCCAAGAGGAAAGGAGGCAGCACCCTGACAAGGTTTGGGGACCACTGAGCTTGAGGATAAGCTGCTGTCAGTCCAGTAGAGCTGACCCAGTAACTATTACCTTTACTGAAATATACAGGAATGAAGTATGTAAAACTTTGATTGAAAGTCTGGGTAGGAGGAATATCTTGTAAGGCAGCTGGATGAGCATCAGAGACAAGATCAGAGTTTTTTTTTTCTTCTTCCAGAAATTTATTGAGAAAGTATAACAGAATTACAACTTATCAGTTGATTGTGAAGGGTGCTGCAATAGTGAGAATATGTAGTGGTTTGTTTCTAGGGAGAGGTAGGGTAATTGAAAAGCTGCTGAAAGAGAGAAAAAGAGGGTAAGAGGGTATATCTTTCCTCCCTTATGTGCTGTCCAAAACAGGAAGGGGAAGCAGGGGTTCTCACTGTCAAGGCCTGGAGGAATGTTGTCCTTAGGGTCGCAATGGGTCGGACACGACTTTGCGACTAACAACAACAACTCATGAGTGGGGAGACACAATATAGGCAGAATAATGTTGCTTGGAAACATTTCTGTGGGGGAAGTGTCTCCATCTCTCTTATCACTGGCTGCAGTGCGGTAGTCCTGCAGTTGAGAGGTAGAGAACCTGTGATCAGGGATGATAGGCGTTGTAGAGTCCATAAATTGTTTTCTTTCAGGGCCTTCATCAGTATATCAGGAAACAGGTTAATTGTCACTATCTGTTATCAGATTCACTAAAGGTGCTACTTTTTCTCTTACGAGCCTGTAGTTTGATAAGTCATCTTATCAATTAAATATCCGGTTTTAAAATGATTAATTTATGTCTGTTAGCTTTAGTCTTCTTTATATCTTCACAGGAAGTTGAAAAACAATGCCGCTGTGGAAAGCATACAAAGCAAATGCCTTGCCATAAGCCATACCTTTGTGAAACCAAGTGTGCAAAAATTCGTGACTGTCAAAAACACCAGTGCAAGAGGAAGGCAAGTATTAAAGTTGCATCGATCCTGTATTTTTTGCTAGAGTCACCAGCAAACATTTTCAACATTTAAAATGTTTTTGTTTCTAAGCGGTGGCCCATGCGTTAAATATGTGGAGGCATTTGAGGGGGTGGCAACAATTTTCAATGTATAACGTAGGCTGTATTGCTGCCTTTTTTTGGTAGGACTCCTTTGTTCTTCTGTACTACATTTAGTGAGCTCATTGGGTCACCGCTAGTGCTTACATTTGCAAGACCTTTTTTTCTTGCAGTGGCTTTTTTCTCTTTTCCCATAGAATAGATGGTTTCTGTTTTCTGCCTCCTGGAGCATGTGGTCTTGGGAAAGGGTAGAAAGAGGAAGGCCTGAGAAGAATCAGTTCCAGCCAAAAAAAGTAGAGAATCTCACTGCTGAGAGGATGATTGACTGGCTAACCCCTTTCATAAACGAAGATCCCTTGTATCATTACTTTCCCTGGCCACTAACTGAGATGACTTCGAGAAGATATTAGATAACTTCATGGAGGGGAAGGCTTACAGTGACTTACTAATCCTCATGACTATCCCTTCCCATATCAGAGGCACTAGCCCATGTGCAACTGTTGCTGAGGTATATGGGTGAAAGAGTGCTTCTGCACTCACACCCTGCTCACAAATTTTCAGCGGGCCACTGGCTGGCCAATGTATGAACAAAACAGTGGAGTAAATGGACCTTGGTCTGATCCAGTATAGCTCTTTTCATGCTCTTAAATAATTTCCACTGTGTTTTGTGGGCTCACTGCCAGGTTGTATCTGGCAGCCTTCACCAGCAATTGATACACTTCAAAACATTTATGATTTACACAGTGCTGTTCGGGAAACTGTCCACCTTGTGACCAAACCTGTGGACGAACTTTAGGATGTCGAAATCACAAGTGTCCTTCTGTCTGCCACAGAGGTAGGACTGCACAGGAAATGTTATTTGTGATTTTTCAACTTAAATTGCTTTTCAAAAACTTTATTCAGTTTCATATTTGTTGTGTTATGGAAAATAGAGTTCACAATTTCTTACTATGATGCAGATTTCTTATACAGTGTCTAGGATTTTCTGGTAAGGGGATTTCCAAGATCGACAGGAGACAACAAAGTAAGGTAAAGCATAGGAAACACTGGAAACCCACTTGCTTGAAGATTTAAGGCTCAGTATCTGAAGTTCATACGCTTTTAAGGAATTTTTCCAGGTTGTTAATGGTTCTTTTGAAAGGTACATTGTAGAGCAAATATAATATGGTATTTGGCACATGTCATGTTGAAGGAAATTATATCAGTGCAGTTTTTTGCATGATCTGTTGGTATATTTTTGAAATACTTGGATTGAGGTTGAATATGTTGCTCCTCTCTGGCTAAATGCCATGATAAATTTTATCTTGCTTTATTTCTCCCAGCCCCACTTTATCATTTGTGAAAAGTGTATTCTTATTTGTTCAATGATGCCGGAGGTGTACAAACATTGAGGCTTTGGACAAATAAGGAAACCATCTTACCTGCTGTCTCTGATTTTTAAATGGCTTTTTGTATATGATATTCTCTTCTGAATGTTTGAAAGTTAAGTGAGATGAGATCTATTTTATTGTTTATGTAAATTCATGAATATAAACAACACTTTGGTGCTGTAATTTGGTCAGTGTGAAGTCTTTGTATTCATAATGCTGTTGTGAGTTTTAATTATTCTAATCAGAAAACTTCTTCCTTCAGTCTCATATAACTTGCACAACAGAAACATTGTACTTGACATGTTGATTCTTTTATTGAATATGATGGCAGCACTTATAATTTTGGTAATTGCAAAGTAGTTCTACTAGTGCATATAGCTCAAAAAATAAATGATGTTAACTACCCTTTCCAAAACTGGTTATCCACAATGTTTATGTTAATTTTAGGTAGCTGCTATCCATGTCCTGAGACTGTGGACGTGAAGTGTAATTGTGGCAAAACTCTTCTTAAAGTACCCTGTGGCAGAGAACGTACCACCAAACCCCCCAGGTGCAAAGAACTGTGCAGGTGAGCATCTGAGTTGTATCTTTAGAAACATACAAAAGCTGGGATCCAAAGCATAACTTAAGGTATGCAGAAGGATGTATGTATATGCCAAAGAATGTTTGACTCTCCATTTTGAACATGAAGTCTTTATTCAATACCACAGAAATGCTTGTAAAAGCCTCTTTGGTTTCAAAAGCATCTTTATTTTTTGAGGCAATTAATGTTACTCCAGGCACTAAGATTCCTAGAATACATAGAAATGTTTGTACTGTTCTTTGGATTCCTGCCAAGGTTCTTATGTTCATGTATCATTTTATATGTATTTTTAAACACGTCTGTACTGGCAGGAAGATAACACAGGGTCAGGGCTGTCTATATTCTATACCAAAAAGACTCAAAATGCAGAATTCAAATCAGCAAATTCAGTTTATTTTAAGGAGGGGTGTTTAGATTGGATATAAGGGCCAGCAGCATGGAGGGAAATCATGAGCTGTGCAAGGGACCAGATTCTTTCCTTGGATAATTAAAAGATCTGCCCAGCTCCAATATAATTGTGGCACTTTCACAGGTCAGTGGCTGCACCAGTATGAATAGTATGTGCTACTGCAGCTTAGAATCCTTGAATGCTACTTCAAAATGCAGTACGGTTTGTTTACTGGGGACCTCTGGTTAAATCTGTGTTTTGCATGAGGACATGAATGACTGTGTTCTGTTGCTGCTTACTCTTAACCTTCATTGTGCCAGATCCCCAGTTCTCTGCCTCAACCTGCTCTAGGCTGGACTGAGGAAGACAAAATGAATTGGTCAGGAGGAAAAGGAAAGGGGTCTGGAAAGACTGTGTTCAGAGCGCTCCAAGTTAATATGTGCCAAAGCAGAATTGTTGTGAATAAGAAACTGCTGGGTTGGTCTTTGTGTGCTGCAAAGTGGCAGGAACAGGAAAATGTCTACATTCTATAGCATTTGCTCAGAGAGACACCATAAATTACATAGTTTGCTATTGGGATAATGTAATTTTATTTTTAGGCAAATTACCTGTTTTTCTTTTGCATTTCTTCAATATTTATAGCTTGTACTTGCCATCTTCAGGCATGGGGAGTATTTATTTCACTGTTTACATTGAGACATTTCTAAGTGATATAAGGAAATTTGGTATCAGCTCTTAATTATGTTATTAATGTACACAGAAGACAATACTTCTTTGAGGATGCTTGTTGGAACAAAAATACATTTTCAGTAGGCACTGAAAACTCAGAAGGGTTGGTGTCTGACAAATTTTTGGTGTACTGCTTTGCAACCTTTGGGCCACACACAGACATCTATTTTTAATGTAGTCATTGAAATCTGTTCACCACACATTTCAAGTCCATCTACTAACTTAATCTCCCTATTTTTCAAGGAAATCTGAAGCTTTCTTAAAATAATTCAAACTGTTCTGGTTGTAGAAACATGTCTTAGAGAAAAGAATACTTTTGGTGGGGAAGAAGGAAGCTAACATATACAGATTTAATTTTTCTACTGAAAGAGACTTTTTGAACTGTACCTTATTAATGAAAAGTTAACTTTTATTCTAGAGTGGAAAATGAAGAATGTTAGGTTTGAAACTGTGGTCCAAAATTCCAACAAGTTGCTGTCCATGCTTGTAACACGCACCATTATTCCCATTAAAATCTGTGTATCTTGCACCAAATCTTTTAAAAAGATAAGCATATATACTGATAACTAATCTATGTGACAAAAAAATGAAAGATTTAAATGTATGGCAAATGTTTTTATGTAAATAGATAAATATTTGGCTGCCCTTTCTCTTGACTGTAAGATGAACTAAATCCAACAAGATGCCTCTGCAACTACTATGGTTACAGCTTCTTAAGAGTGGGGTTTCCCCCTAGACATTATATCTATGAGATTGGCATGGCACCTAAGGTTTCCCACAGGCAAAGATAAAATAGATAATAGCATTTTTGCTTGCCATCAGAAAGCCATCAACAAGGGATCTAGATGAGTGAAATACAGACACTAGAAGTTTCCTTTTCAAGTTTCAATCAAGTGTACTTCAGATGTTAACAAAGAGAGAAGAACCTTTTTAGGCAGTCTTTCTTAGGGCAGACTCCTGTGGGTGAAAATGTCCCTTTGAGTAACCTTATCCCAAGTCATTTTGGGCATCCTATGTCATAACTTGGGATGTATGAATCCATCTTGTGTGTAGGAATCCATCAGATTCTTGGGCTCTGGTCCACTTTGATGCAGACAGGAATCTTGAGTTCCCAGCGAGTCTGCTTAGTATATGTATGGTGGTATCCAGGAATCAAGTCCCACTCTCTGGCCAAACAGTGTTTTCCCCTTTTGCACCATGTGCAGCAGCCTTTCCTACATGATGTAGGAAAAGTTTGTGCAGCACTTGCCAGGAATGGAACCCTGTATGAATGGCACAAAAGCAGCATCACTTTTCTGTACCACATGCAGCAGTCTTTGTTTGTGCTGCTGCACATAATGCAGAAGAAGGAAGCTGGGTGCACAGCCTTAGTTCGTATAACAGGCCCAAACCCCATACAGCCAGGCCTGAGTCAGTAGCTCTTTAAATTGCTTGCTTTGGTTGGCACTAAAATCTAGTTGCTTACAATACTACAATGGAGCTTCAGTCAGTGTTCCCCTGACAGTCTGCTTTCATGAAACAAAGGAGTTTCCTTTTGTGATATTAAGATGGTACAAGGAGCACAAACACTGCACAACTGAGCCTTGATCATTCCTGATCAGTTATTGCTTCTGAAGTCAAATGGCAGTAATAAGCCTATGCTTTGATGTCAGACAGAGATGGAACCTTGGCCATTCAGGCAGGAAGAGTCCTTATTTGCTCACTGTACCTTGTTATTTCTTAGCACCTGTGTAATTATATAGAATGCTGTATGTGTGTGTTATCTATAAAAAGTAGCTGCTTCCTTTGTTCTCTGGTTCACACTACTTTTGAGGGGGATTCTGCTGTTTCTATCTGTACCCAGCTGATTGGAATCCTGCCTTGCAAAAGTCCGCACTATGTAGCGTAAGAGACTTGCTGCTATATGTACGGGAAGTCTAGCTAGCATTTGGGTATGTCAGCAATAATAAATAATCACTTTCTTGCTAAACCTGGAAATGGCATATCATTCTCTGGAAATTAAAAAAAAAAAAACCCTACTGCCCACGGCTGGGGCAACACAATTCTGCAAGTGTCTGAGGACTTCCTCTCCATTTATGGATAATTAAGTATTATTGATATATTGATATTTTTGTTTGTTTTGTCATATGCTGTTAACCGTTTGGGCATAATGTATATAGAAAAGCAGAGTCTGGTGACTGACTATAAACTGACCATCGTAGTAATTCTTGACTGCTTTTGTTCTAGGCAGCCACCTACCTGCCATCATCCTTGTCGAGAGAAACACAGTTGCCACTTTGGCCCTTGTCCTCCATGCCGTCAGCCCTGCAAGAAAATCTTAGAGAACTGTGGTCACTTTTGCCCTGCTTCCTGCCATGATGAGGCACTTGTGAAACAAGCTGGCTTGGTGAGAGAAAAATCAATAATATGTTAAAAGCACACTGCTTATTTGGAAAAGCTAGAAGATTTGCCTTCCTGCTAGTCTTAGCCTAGACAGTTCTGCAGTTAAAAGTACCCATGTAGTGTTATATTTACATGTGTTGTCTAATTGTGAAATAAAAAAGGTCTTTTTGTTGCCCTATTTAAGGCTGGTACTTTTAATTCACCATGTAATTCAATAGTTGTAGACTGAGAACTCACCTTTTAATCCCAGTCTCACCATAGAACCAGTTTTAGGGTTTTTTTCTGTACAATTTCATGCTTGTCCTTCCATTTAAAAAAGAGAGTGAAGTGGAAACTGCCATCAATGTGGTGCACCCTAGGTTTGGGAAGTGCTTAGTTGTGGGGTCAAGACTAACCAAATGATACTGTGACAAACAGATTTAGTTCTTAACATTTCTGCGGAAAATTTCTTCCTCCTTTTGCCCATCTCCTCCCTTTATCCTCTCCCTATCTCACCTCCAATTTTGGCACTATGTTCCAGTAAAGGTTTTTAAATTTCAGAAAGTATGACTTATTTACTGAATCATTTAAGGCTTCAATCAACCTGCTGGAGTTTTTATGCTCACATTAGAAAGACGCTCATGATAAACTGGTCAGAAATGTTTGGATCGAAAGCTTGTTGTCTCTTTAAACCATTACCTTGAGAAAAAATGTAATGATATTCAGTAGAAGTACTTACTTTAGAGCCACTCCTATGATTTAGAGTAGATTGATAATATGCCATTATTTCATTAATCTTCACAACAGCCGTATGGAGTCATCTGTATTTGATGGAAGAGAAATTGAAAATCAACAATAGGGCTTTACTTAAGGCCATTGAACAAACATATGACCTGGTCTGTACATCACAACAATTCATCATGGATAGCTAGCCATGGCATGTTGCCATGTTGGACAAGCCTAGAACTCACCCTAATCTGTGGCGTATTTTTCAGGAACAAGTCACCTTGATGACCCATGGCTTATTCTAAGGGTTGTTTGATCCACTATAGGTTGATAGGTAATCCAAACACGAAAGAACAATGTCATTATGGACTAGAGGGATCAGCTAATGAGCCATTCAGCAAGATCAGCAAAACCCCCTGAAGCTTGCCACCCCAGTTACATTGACAGCCCCTTCACCAATGCCCAAGTGACACTTGGGAGTAACCATCACTGGTTAGATCTTGTATTTTATTTTTTGTGGTCCCAGAATGTTACACAAATGTTATTTTGCTTTTGGTTATTTCTTAATTATTTTTAGTTATCTTTGCAAATGCACTCTTATGGCTATCTGATTTGTGTAGTCTTGGATGGTAAATTTTCTTGTATGTTTCAGCTGTCAAAGAAAGTGACAAAGTGGAGAGGGTACCATATGTGGAAACTGACAAGGCTACTGCATATAAGTTAATTTGCACAGTTGCCAGAAATCTGTTGCTGAGCTGCCAATCAAAAGCACTGAAAGGCAAAAACAAAAGTCAAAAGCAGGAGCAGCAAAAGCAGGAGGGACACAATATCTCATGCTTGACAATGTGATTCTGTTGTTTTAAAGTATTGAACTGAAACTTTTCAGTGCCTTCCACTTTTTTTAACTCTGGCCCAAGCCTCTAGTTATTTCAGAAAAGGGGGGTACTGGCTCCCTATTCCAGTTTCTGCTGGATTTTGTTTTTTTGAGCACTTAGTATTACCCCTTCAATGTGCTGCTTGGGCAATTTGTGGGTGCTGTCGCTGGTTGTGATCTTTGAGATGATGAAATGCAGCTTCTGGGAAAAAAATGTTTCCTTGGAGCACCAATGAGGTTGGTTTCCCAGATTCAGACAACACAACCACCAGTAATGGGTCTAACAATTCCTCGAACGATCCATAGACTGTTAGAGTGACTTATTGTTAACAAAGAGCCTCATTCAGCCCCCACAGTTGATCTGGGTTAATATGGCACAAAAACCCTTTGTATCTTGTCTTCCATAATGGACTGTTAGCTTGTGCAAATCGAATCATTACAATAGCTAATGGCAGAGTGGCTTAGCATGTCATGTGAATCCACCCTGTATCTCACTGCTGAAACTCAAAATACTCCCTGGTGAATTACTGTGGGCCAGTTCACATGAACAAATAAATAACAGTGATTTGGATGACCTGCCAGCAGAGGTAATTAGCTATGGGGGTTGTCCTCATCAGAACCCAATATTAGTCTTTTATTTTGTTGTTATTTTATTTCTATACCACCCAATAGCTGAAACCCCCTGGACAGTGAACAACAGTTAATAAACACAATAAAATACCAATATAAAAATAAAACAGTAAAAACTTCAAAAATTCCATCCAAAATTTAAAACATATTAACTTACCCCACCCCAAATAACCTAAAAACAGTATATATCAGCTAAAAACAGCAAACAGTTGTCAATATCCCTACCCCATGGGTTATTTTTAGCTCTGGAGACTCCATTTACATTTTTTAAATTACATGTAATCTGAGAGCCATTAATCGTTCTGAAACAGATGTCAATGTAGCAATCAATTGATTAGTGAAGATTGAACAATATGGTTCATTTTTCCATTCTTGCTTAAAATCCCATGTATTGTTTATTTGCTCATAATATTTATAAACCTGAATCGGGTTGATACAGCTGCTCAGTACTTCCAATAACAGAGAGGCCTTGTAAAAGTATCAGGGTCAGACCAAGATTCAAATGTTTCAACTGCACATATTGCCATTCAGATGTAACTGATAGATCAAATTTGACGCACAAAATAAAAATGACAGAAACTTATTGGGACCCACTAACTGATCCAAAGAGAAAATCAGTGCATCTGTCCAGGTCTGCCAAGTGAAAGTTTTCTTGCCAATTCTTATATCTGGGCTTCTCCACAAAGTTTATGTGGTGTGTTCAAATGGATTAAAATGGAATTGATGTGATAGTGTGCTTCACACCTCCCTCACCATAATAAATGCTATCTGCAAAGCAGTCTATTTGGAGAGAGGATCCAAATATGAAGATTCCAAAACTGACTGGGGCGAATGTCTAATCTAAAATTTAATCCTAGTGAACAAATAGGCTTGTTAATATAAGACAAGATCAGGAAAGCCAAACCCACCCTCTTTCATTGGAAGTTGCATCCTTTTCAAAGATACTTGTAGTGGAGTTGAATGCCATAAAATGTATGCTATTATATTACCAATAAGAACTGTTGATTAGTCACCACAGTTTACTTTGGAACTTAATTATTGTGCATTGAGATTCTCATTCAGTATGTTGGTGAGGGCAGTAGAAGTAACTGGACATTTGAGGCATTATTCATTGACTTCAATATTATTCACAGTGGTTGCTGTGTATCAGTTTGCTCTAAAGACACACATTTTCTTCCTAGCATCAGCCAGCAGGCCCCTGGGAACAGTCAACTGAGCCTGCTTTTATTCAGACAGCATTACCTTGTCCTCCATGTCAAGTCCCTGTTCCAACGTGAGTACAAAACTATGCATTATAATGTGTGTTACCGGAATGGCACCTTTTAGAGTCACTATTTTTAGCATATTAGGAAATATATTACAGTAATGTCTTTGGGTTTTGATTACAAGATGAGCTATTTCCAAAAACAACATCGGGTCCTTTACAGAGGCTAAGCAGTCTGTAGTCAAAAGTATGTAGCCTAGTGCATGCACAGATTCCTGTTTGGCCTCTTTTACTTGGCTTTTGTTGACAGTGGGCCTGTTCCATTGGAAGGTTCCCTCTGGGAAGAGCATGACATGCTCTATTGCATCTTTAGTAGAGCTCTCAGCCATTCAGAGGCACTTGTGCACAAGAACTTCCCTACTTGGAGTGCCTGAATTGTGTATGCAGCAGAGCATTGTTGAACTGCAGCCAGAATCTGCATTTCAGGTTTGTTGACATGCATCCACTACCAGTTTAAACTCAGCAAGAATATCTTTCTGTTCAGTTCTTCTGTCTGTATTGGCTTACTTACAGATCTTTAAATCATCTTTGTGTACACGAGCAACATTATCTAAAATTTTCCATGTCCTGCATCCAGCTTCTCGATTATGAAAACGCTATCTATGATGCTTAAACAAGCCTTTAGGGAGGACTCAGAGTGAAACATTAAAGTACAGTTTTTATTTTATAGATGGACTCAACTGCTACTGTTAGTAAGATTTTTTTAGATGATCTGTTTATAGCACAACAAATACACAGTTGTTACTCATTAGTTGTGGGAGATAAAATTTCCTAATTAAATTTCACATTTCAACATACTGAGCTCTCTGTTGTCTTTGTACTCGTACAGCAAATGTTGGTCAGCATCTGCAGTTTGAAGCCTAGGAATTGTATGAAAAAGACTGAAAATGATTCCCCTTTTAAAATAATGTTCAGGCTGTTAATCAGTTAAAATTTGCAGTTCATGGATGACTTGCTTTTTAAGTAATTGAATAAACTTAATTTTTCATTGTTTCAGTACCTCTGTATAGATGCCATATTGTGCATTGATATTCCATTAAGTGAGAGAATTCAGCTCTGCCCTCCACTCCATGCATAGTCCTCAAACTCTGTCCATCCCACTTGCATAGCCTCTTGTCCTCTCCCCTCCTGCACCTCTCCTTCAATATGTGGGTATACTGCAGGAATAAGTATACTCAGTAGCTAAGCAGAAAATGTTATTTTGTAGAAGGCTAGCCCTGCTGTTTGGTAGAATGAGCTGTTTATCTCAAGCAGTAGATGCTGGACAGTAGGAAGTGACACTGAGCTGTTGGGGACAGAAATGTGTGTACCACATGGCCTGCTCTACACCTTAAGCTAATGTCATGAGCTCAGGTGAAACAGAACATGTAGTTGAGGTTCCATTGTTTGAGATAGGATTCAGCTGCCATCCTGGATACCTTTTGTAGGTGGAATGGAGGAGAACATCTTGTCCTTTGCCTCACGCAGCAAAATGGCCACAAATGGCATTAGTGATTGAGGAAAATTGCATTTTGCACCTGGAGCAGGGAGAAACCTGCCAAACCACCAGGTGACATATCAGACCCTCTTGTGCATCCAGTGACATAACTGGGTGTACAGTGCTTCAGCTCATATTTGATTTTGGAAACACTGTCAACCAATTAATTAAAATTAAACCAATTAATTTGTACAAAACTTTGCAATTGTCATACCTGCAGTGCCTGATTGACTATTGAATTTCAGGAGAATTATTACGTCCAAGTGTATTATTCAGTTGATTGACTTTTCTCATTCTTGTGTATTTGCAGCCAATGCCTTGGGAAACATGAGGTGAGTCATAATAGCAGTCATCCTTTGGAGTAAATAAGAACTATGCATAATTTGGTTTCAGTCATAGCTCTCTGAATGAAATTAATGTTTAATTGATGTGACATGAGGTTTATTTGCAACTGGAAGCATTTTGCTTTTCATTTGAAAACTGGCAAATCGATTTTCCTTTGAGATCTTCTGGCATTTCCATCAGGAGAGTATTAACAAAACTCTTAGAAAATTCACAACAGTGAACTACAAATTCATCTTGAAACTTAAACATTTGATATTGGATTTCAAGCACTGTTGGTAAAGTCTTAGTATTTACTAGGATGACTTTTGAACTTTACTACTTAATGGCTCTTCCAAATTGTTGTGAAATATTTAAATGATCTCTTGTGCAGTTATATTTCTGGGTTGATAACATTTTGTGGTTGCATTTATGAACATCTGAAAATTGTTTTGAAAATGAATATGAACTGTTGCTTAGGTAAATATGATGCTTGTGGTAGAACCTGAAAGCTTTCCAGAGGTAATGCAGAAGGTATGACCTGTAGCTCAAGCTTGCACAGTGAAATCTGTTGCAATCCGTGAGTTGGATATGGGGAGATGTTTTAAGTATATTTCAGCATTCTGAAGGCATGGAAATAGGCATGCACTTGGTCTTATATTAAGAGATTGCAAAACATTAAAAGAGGGTGTGTGTGTGTTTTCTTGCACAAAAAAACAGATGGATAAGCACAGCACATTAAAAACATTAGAGAGCTACAATGGAGGGGAATGATTTTGCTTTACAAATTGCTCGTTTGGAGGTTAGGTCAGGCCATTACTCATTTTGATTTGTAATGGCTGCTGAAGCCTAGAAGTATCTTCTTGCCAGGAAAGGAGGTATGTCTAGAGACTAAAATTGTTTGAAGCAGCATTATATGGAAATTTATTTATTTATTTGGATATTTATAAACTGACCTTCATCAAAAGATATATCAGGATTGTGAAACTATTGCTATAACAAAAAGGCATACAACTGCAAAATGCAAGAAAAGCAAGAGAATGCAATAATAAAACATCAAGATAATTTAGTAAAAATAATGTTGTAAAATTTAGGACTCCTTAAATTAGAATAACAGTACAAGGGAAGACATAATAAAGGTGTATAAGTTATACATGGTGTGGAAAAAAGACGATTTTTTTGCTCATAGTATTAGAACTTGGGGTCTTTTAGTGAAGCTGAGTAGTGGGAGGTCCAGCAGATAAAGGAATTACTTCTTCTCATGGTACATAGTTGAATATAGTGATGGCCTCCTACTTGATTGGATTTGAAAAGGGTTAAGACAAACGAATGGAAGATAATGCTAATGATCACTACATATTTTCTCCAGTATCTGAAGTGGTATGCTTCTCAACACCACTGAAAGGGAATATGAGTGGGAGGGTTTATTGAATTCATGTCCTGCTTGTGTGTCTTCCACTAGGGCATCTGGTTGGCCACTATAGAATCAGAATGTAAAACTTGGTAGATCTTTGGTCTTTGAATCAGCACTACTGCTGCTGAATTCTCATGTGCTTAATAAAATAAAATGATCCATGTAAAATGTCTATGTTCACACAGAAGATTTAGCTTGATGCTGAAATTAGTGCAAAGCTGATACCACTTAACATCTCCACAGTGAGGGTGTACTAGAGATGGGATGGTACAACCAAGAAGACTTTTTTTTTCCTAGTGGTCATATAAGGATTAAAAATCATTTTGAAAATGTGCACAAAATGTGCAGTTTGGTGTAGGGAGGGGATGTCCATTCATATATTTGCATCCCAATTTGGGGATTAACAGGTAAGCAACTGTACCTTGGAATGGTCTTGGAAGCAAGAAGGCAACCAGTGTGAATGCCTTTGAATCAGAGTAATCAAATCCTATCTTCCCACACCCTTTAACTTTCTAGCTGCCACATTCTGGACTCAGTGAAGCCTTCTGCTTGTCCTCATGGGCAACCCCACATTATAGTAGTCCAATTTTTGTGAACCATCCAGATGGCCTCAGCCATTGGGAGGTATAGATATGCGATTGGATGGATGGATGGATGGATGGGGTGGGGAAGGGTTCCGCCATAGTCAGGCTATCTTTCTGCAAGAGCAGTCATAGCTGGAGAACCAGGCAAAACTTGTGGGAGGCATTCTGAGCCCCCCAGAGAAGGCACTCCAGAGATCTTCACTCTGAAGAATTTCTCTTAAGGAGCAGCTGCACAACTGCTTCTTTCAAGGCAGCTGGGGCCATCCTGCCTCTTAAAGACACATTAAATAGGTGCACTATTGAGCTGTCACATGTGTTCAGACATATTCATTGTAAGAGTTATGCCATCTGCATTTCTCATCAAGTTTCATAACCTCTAATTCCTTAGCACTTTATAGATAAATATAAATACACAGAGGAAGGCTTTGTGCAAACCAGTCAGGTTAGAATTTATGAATGTAAGATGGAGTTCTAGCCAACCACAACAGTAATAAAAAGGGAGATGTGCAACAAACTTTGGCAGGGTATCCTCCCTCCAGGAAGGAGTGCCTGCTGTTCAGAGCACTACCCAGCCATTTCCCCCAAACAGGCATTTCATTCCTCCCCCTACCCCCCATATTCCTTTTTCTTCTGCAGCTGCTGGTTTTTGAGGCTGCTCTACCACATTCTGTCCTCATTGATCTGTTTCATGTATGTGCTGAGGGTGCCACCTTACTTTTTCTTAAATATTTCTGCAACAGTGTTTGCGTACAGCTATTTCTTTCTTAGTAGCCAGGTTTGAGCTGCAGTCATAGCATCAGTCACATGATATGACTCTGTTATTGATATGACTCTGAATATTGTGGCATAACAGAGGAAGATGGAAATGCAGGTTATCTGTGGCAGCAGCATATGATTGAACAGAACATTAGGATGTGTACAGATAATGACTTGCCTTAGGATTTCAGCTTGATAACTAAAAGCCTGCTTCAGCTAATTCAATATCTGTTCAGACAATAGGCCTCCTCTGCACCTATGGGGAATGGTTGCACGAATGTAGTATGGTCTCAGTAGTTTGTATTATCTGGGTTGCATATTTCAAAATCATGCTTTTGATTTTCCTGACTGCCAGGTGGGGTATGCAAGCGTATATCCACTTGTGCTTTGCTCACGCCATAACCCTTTCGTTGAAATGCTTTGACGGAACTTTGAAAGTAACCGTCTGGCAAGTTCTTAATTGGCTAGTTTTGTAAAAACCACATGAGTATGTTAGAAAAGGCAGACAAGGGCTGCTAGTCATGATGACTATATACCTCCATTATTGGAGGCAAGATAACCTTCTTCATGCTAGTTGCAAGGGGAAATGAGGCTGCTTTTCATTCATGTTCTGTTGTGGGCTGCCCACTGGATCTGGCTGGGAAGAGATGCTAAAAGAGACAGTGTCATGTCAGACTGCACATATAGGATGCCACTTGCATGTAAGAAAAGTTCTCCAAAGAGAAAAGTAACAGCATTTTCCTGCTGGGGTAGTTTTTCTGTTTTCAAGGAATCCCAGAGGGATCTTTAAAAAACATGGTTTGTGCACCTGGAGACTGAATGGAAGGGCTGTAACTGAGTGGTGGAGCACCTACTTTGCATTCAGAAGGACTCATGTTCAATCCCCAGCTTCTCCAGGAAGGACTACAAGGAATCCTGTCTTGAAACTTTGGACCTAATCTCTGACTCAAGAAAGAACTATCTTGTAGTCCATTCTGTCACCTCCTTGGTGACAGACTGATACGTGTGATACAGATCAGTCAAGTCCTCCAAAGCAGCACTTTTATCCATACCACTGTCTGGTAAATGCTACCACCACGAAGAAGGCTTTTGCTCAGTGTATAACAGCTGGAGTGAGGAGTGGGACTGACAGAAGTAGTTTTGTACATTCGTAAAAAAAGAATACCCCTATTTAAACACTAGGAACAAAGATCAACCTCTTCTCATTTAAGATGGTCAAGGTCCTTAAGGCTAGAATGACAATGAAGTTCTGACTAGGATAGTAATGGCAAAGCTGCTATTATCTTTTGGACAAGCCAAATTTACTTACATCAGCAGTGAGATGTTATAAATGCAAGTAAGATCTGATTAAGTGCATTTAAAAATGTATGATTAGAATTCATTATGTATTGCATGAAAGTTAGTACAGAATGCTAACTTTCTGTAAATGACTGGGATTAATCCCCCCCTTTAGATAAGCAAATTGCATCACCTAAGATGTCTGCTTACAGTGGGTTCCTTTTCAGACTTTTAGCAATTCAAAAAAGCCAGCTAATTTGAATTACAGGCCAGTAGTGAAATGACCAAATCATAATCACCATCCAGGAGAGTGTCATGCTTGCTTTCTTTTAACTTTGATTTGGTAAGAAAGTAATTTTTCATAGCTGTGGTATAATGTGCATGTTGATTTTTGGTGGCTTGATGATTGCAAACTTAGTTTCCAAGTTATCATTTTAAAATGTATTTTTCTAAAGAAGAACAACCCTTCATGTTTGAGGGAAGAAAATGAACTGTATATTTCTTAGTCAGATAGTCTCAGACTGTTTGCTTATTCAATATAGTTACATTTCCTAGGACATATTGTACCCTTTCATTTTCATTCCAGACTTCGGCAAGAAACTTCATATAAAGTTTTTGAAAGGGTTTACATTAAATATGTAACTGGTGGATTCATCTTTCTGTAGTAATTCTTGTTTAAATATATTAAATTTACACAAGAAATTCTGGGTGTTTTTTAAAGCAGAGGATAAATTTTCTCTGTCTTTTAAGATATTTCATAATTACTTTGGGCATTCTGGGGAATAGCTAGGCACTAGAATAAAGAAATCCCAAGTTGTATATTTAGTACTCTTTTATAATTCTTCATTCTTTGTGTCTTGGTTCTGTTATAAACCTTCTAAGTGCAAGATCTTTACAACTTTTTTGCTGAATTCTTGATTGCACCAATTAATTCCATTACTCTCTGTGTCTCTACTAGTAAAGCTTGATAATAGCAATG